TGTTAGTTTAGAAATTTAGTCAATAGCAAATTATATAGGAATTTATAGGACATTGAAGTTTTTTTAACGAGAATTTAATATTAGTTTAGATCTAGATTCTATTATCGATGAATTTTATGCTATAAAATATCGTACGGTACAATTGTAATATCTAACGTTATATTACAATTTTTCTAATTATATATAAATTTTATTCGAACATTCAATTTAAAAAATTTTTGGCCCCCCGTACGACACATTCCTGGCTCCGCCACTGACTGGATCAAACCTGAACCGGTTAGTTCCGGCCCGATTTCCTTTTTTTTTTTTTTCATAGAATACAATGGTTCAATACTTCAATTTTTTCAATTCTTGATGGGAATAAGTTTTGTTCGATTATCAGAATACTTGGATAGAACTACTCAACGCACATCATTACTTTTGAAGCAGATGGAAATATTGTTTTCATTTTGCATCACTATGTTTTTTCACAACAATATTTATTTGGAAAAAAAGTTTGGAGAATTTTTTTTTTTTGCGTGATTAAGAGGTTACAGTCAAATTCTGGGTTGTAACTCTTAAAATTGTTTTTCCATTTGAATATTAAAGTGCAATGGACTATGTTGGACAAGTATTTCACTTGTATTTTTTCTGTGAATTGCGTCGGTCCAAACTAAAGTATAAACACAATTTACACTGACGCATGTGGACTTTTTTTTTTTTGGTAGATAGATTAGTGTCTGGAACTAAATTAAAGTACTTCTTTCCATGGCCAGTCCAAAGTGCCTCTATTGTTGTTTGGAATTTGGTTCGAATTGTCATGTGGAAAGTTTCTGAAAGTTCATATAAAAAAATTTTACATTCATATACAAAAATCAATAGCTTAATTCTCAAAAATCAACGTCTCGCCATTTCATCTCATCTCATCTCACCGATCCTATCTATAATAACCCCGGTGATATAGATTGGTGTGGTTGCTGGCGAGGTGGCAAAAGATTACTATTCAAAAGACCTTGTCTGATTGGATAAAATATTTAAGGTTAGAGTTCAATGAGAGATGAATATGTGATATCTTAACAACAATCGAAATAAGTCCAAAACAATAGTAATTGACAACATATAGCCGTTTGGTGCACATTAAAATGAGAGAATGCATTTTTTTGAAGTGATGTTATGGGGAATATGTGGTTGAAAAATAAGGAAAAATTATTGATGTGATAGAAAATATTATTTTATTGAAAAATGTGTAGTTGAAAACAAGTAGAAGAATAAGAATGAAAAAAATAACGTGGATCAAACAGAGGCTTAAAACCCATTTGTCTACGAAACATTTTACGAGTGTCACGTCAAATTGGATAATTTGGATAGTACATTCAATATTAGATTGACCCCACAGTCTAATTTTGATTAACATCAGTAACCATTGAGTCAGAAAAAATACTTTAAGGACCGANGTCAGAAAAAATACTTTAAGGACCAAAATAGAAACTCACACAAACTGCAGGGATCAGTTCTAAAATTAACTCTCAAAAAGATGCTTTAAAGACCGACATGAAATGTCACACAAACTTTAATGACCATTTGTGAATTTAACTCAAAAATATTGGATAGGTTACAACAATCGTCACCAACCTTTGAATGTTGTAACATCTTGTCCCTTATATTGTAGCAATATGGACCTCAACATTTCATGAGTTGACATTGCTTGTCCTTGCTAACATTTTCCATAAAAGATTCTAAGGGTCTGTTTGATTGTAAGAGTGAAATTTAGGTGAAAAAAAAAATGAATTCTAAAGAATTGAATTGCTTATGATTATTTTCATGTGAATTGTCAATTAACTGTGTTTTATTAGTATAATTTTCTACGTGGAAAATATTGAAATTTTGGATTTTTTGGGGTTCATTTGGTTTTGTATTACATGGAAACTGTCCATTAAAGAATT